TCGAACCCGAGACCCCAGGATTACAAGGCCAGCGTTCTAACCGCTAGACCACCGTGGCTCTAGTCAGACAAGTACAGAAATTTATTACACAAATACAAAGTTTCAAACTACGGGACACCTGTACTGAATCATGATCCATGAACGATAATAGATCGGTCGATTCATCGCCTTTGTAAACTCGAACGCTAATGCAGCGATTACTGAACTCGGCTGCTGTGGGGTTATCAAAGGTTTCTCGCATTTGCACATACGAAATACGCCGATACGCGTTTAGCATCCGGATGTTGCCAGGTGCCACTCCATCGCTTTCAGAGTTGCTCAGTTCCGCGGCGAAACGCGACTTACGACGCAGAACGCCGAATTCTCAGAGACGGAGACGGACCATTCAGTGCTGATCTCCGAAGCCCACACTCATGCAAGGGCACGCGGACTGGAACATGAAGGACTTTGCGCACACGGCAACTCCTACCGAGGGATGACGTCGCACGCGATCGAAGGGCAAATATTTAATTTGGTGATAACGCTCGATTTCACCGCCGCGGTATCACCGATTCAGTTCCAAACACAAGTTAGCAAATTGGATTTTGTCTTCTGTGGTGAAATATTCGGAAGTCGGAATGTCAGGACTTCGCTGAAGACAGAAACAAGGAAATTAGGGAGGCATAAGCGAGGTTTAGTGGAGTTGAGGGCGTCGTCACTTTGGGAAATCACATCAGCAGTTAAAGACGAGAGGTCGAAAGGATGCAGGAGATCGCACGTGTGCATGTCCCAACTATGGTTAAAGATGGTAATGCATAATGATCTGGTTAATTTCCCAGATATCCCTCACGAAAATTCATTTCTCCCAAGTTAAAATACTAAAACCTCAGATTCAACTGTCGAATGTGTTCGCCCGGATTGTGATCCAGAAGTCGGAATCGGCAAATTCCTCCGACATGAAAGCCTCAGACACCCGACAACTGTTTTACGTCCCTCGAATTTTAGGGCGGGAGAGGGGTGGCTTTTATAGGAAATTTCAACAGCGGTTTATATGAAATTAGATGCGATTAATCTTTCACATACCAATACATATTTTTACCAGGATTTCAATGTTCCCACGCAAACTTCTCCTGA